TTCTTTTTATCTTAAACACGACTAATGGGCTGACGCCGAATGATTCAATCTAAGAATACAAAAGGTTCGCTAACCAGCTCTAATCGCAGTCTCCAATTCAAAAAAGGCAACATATCATAAGTATGAAAGAGGGTGCAAAGGAAGTGCTTCCCTGTCACATAAACTTCATGAGTAGTGGGCAAAACCGGTTCTCGAAATGAGCTTCATCGCCTTCGAGTCTTCAATCACTAGCAAAAGTATAAAAAAACTGCTACATTCTATGACTACGGCATATACACAAAAAGGTCATAAATAATCGTCAAAAGCAATCTGTAACTTAAGGTGATCTCAAGGTGTAGTAAGTTTAACTATATAAAAATTTGATTAACTCTTCTATGTATGACGACAGCAAAATACTTCTCTCAAGCGGTACTACCAAAAAAAAATAATTAAAAAACAAAAAATAATGAATATCAATTTAATGAGAAAATGTCTAAGGAAATCAACTGAAACCCACCATTCTGTGCTATTCCCTGTATATCGCGTATTTATCGGGCACGCGTAGAGTGCTCCTGCTTGGATCGTACCCACTTGACCAGATTCTGCCTTTGGGGCACCAATTAAAACGCTGAAAAAGACGAAGTGGAACAATGACATAGGGGGCTTATGTCTTGTATCAAACGCTTTCCACACTTATGCTCCAGAATATTATTCGTCTAGCAAGTAACGTCTTTGTACTCATTTTTTTCACAAGATAAGGTTCGAGTCATGAAAGGGGAGCGCCTGATTGACTAACGCATAATGAAACTCTAAATAAGGTTGTTCGCCGACTTGAGCTAAAATGTAATCAGAGAAACTCTTCAAGAGTCACTAAAGACAGAGTTTTCGCAGCAAAAGTACCGGCATTGAAAAACCCGGCGAAATGGCGAAATGGAGATGAGTTTGCGATGTTCAGATTCAGCCGTAGCTAGAAAACGCTTGTAAAACATTCAGGGAAACTAATGCATAAATTAATAAATTTAAAAAGTTCATGATAAACTGAAAAATAGACGAAATTCATTATGTTCGGAGCAGGCAAAAGACTCAGTCGATTCCACTACCCCTAAGCTCCAGCGAGCGGTAAATCGGATGTACAATAAGTATAGCCGCAATTTGATGCAGCGAGCTGATTCAAAAGTAGGAATCATGAAATAGATTACAAGCAATAAATTGCTCAAAATTATAATAGATATAAATTGCTTAAACGGCAAATAGCAATGTACAGGTTGAATAAGTAATCTATCGTGATATGGCGTAGTTTCTTGAATCGATGTATAGCATAAAAGATAGTCGTAAGCAGCGATATGAACACCTTGTTTTGAAACCCGCGAATCATTAAAATCCGAATTAAATCATCTACAGCCCCTGCTATGGTCAAAATTCGAAATGGTGTTTATATCAGAGTGTAACGGATA